GGGAAAATGTACCTGTCGCCATATTAGTGGTACCTCTTTTTTATTACTCTGAAAATAAACTCCAAAGAAGACGGATCGTTGGTCCTCCTCAGCATCCAAAATTTAAAACTCTGCCTACTTTTATTGGGAATCTGGAATTGTACTTGCCACGGCCCCCGACAGCTTCATTTGTGGTCCTTCGCCCGAGATATTCCAGCGCCTTTTCTGCCAAGATAAGTACGGTGCCGAAATTCCCATCATATATGTATGTACATACATGCATATATATGTAGATATACTGCTGCATCTAATTTATTTAAAACACTACCAACTTGGGCAGTAGTATATGTATATATATGCATGTGTTTACATGGCTATATGCCCCTTTCCTATTTTCTAAATCAGCCAATATCCGAAAAGGTTTACATCCAGTTTTTTTTCCATACATAAAAAACCATACATCCACACCGATTCCGTAGTATATGTACGTACATACTTACACAATTTGCATACGCACATAGGTATGTACGAACATTGCCGATTTATGAACATACATATGTACATATGTAGATCACCTTTGGTTCACAAATCGGCGGCATTTAGAAGAGAAAATAAATAAAGATCATATTCCATCCACCACAAACATACATATGTTCATATTTTCCATCCACTGCACAACAACAAAACAAAAAGATAAATAAAGTTAACCCCCCTCCTCCAGCTGGCCGATCATACGTGAATATAAAATACATACATATGTATATGCACATATTCATGCAAATTTGCCGGACCGGCAATTGAGACTCGGCGGCTATCGGTGTCGCTGCATTCGAACACAAAACCAAGTGAAACAAACAAAATTAAAAAAAGTCTGCGTTTTTAATGGTTGTTTATTTGTTTATTTTGCGTAAATACATATGTATGTAAGTACTGGCCGCCAAGGTTGCGACACTATTACCATACGCGTCTGTTAATGAGCCGTTCACACTTGGGTGCATTTTTTTTTTGTATTATTGGTTTTGAGTTTCAATTCGACTAATTTACAACCTAATTTTTTCGAATCGTGTACACCGGTCCGATTATTTTTTGGTACGCATTATCCAGCGTCCAAGCATATCTTCAAAGGCGATAAGCATACATTTTCGATTTATCCTTTTGTCTTCACTTTCCAACCACACAGTATTTTTCGACAAACATTTATTTGTCCCCGAATAATTGATTCTACATATTTTTTCTCTGTTCTATTTCAAATCGATAAAAATAATTTTTTCGATTAACTCTGGTTTCCTGCGCTTATCCAGCGTCCCTGTATTGATTTAAAATCGATAACATCCTTTTCGAGTATTATTTGTTTATTTACGCTTATCCAGCGTCCCTGCACTTATTCCAAATCGATAAATATAATTTTTTCGATTAACTCTGTTTTCCTACGCTTATCCAGCGTCCCTGTATTGATTTAAAATCGATAACATCCTTTTCGATTAATTAGCTCTACGTGTTATCCAGCGCCCCCATATCTTTAAACCGGGTACATCCGTGCCAACGCGTTATCCAGCGCCCCCATACCTTTTGAACCGAGTGCATTCGTGTCAACGCGTTATCCAACGTCCCTGTATTAATTGGAAATCGATAGCATTTTTTTCGATTAATTTGTTCTACGCGTTATCCAGCGCCCCCATATCTTTAAACCGGGTACATCCGTGCCAACGCGTCATCCAGCGCCCCCATATCTTTTGAACCGAGTTCATCCGTGCCAACGCGTCATCCAGCGTCCCTGTATTAATTGAGTAGCGATAGCATTTTTTCGATTAATTTGTTCTACGCGTTATCCAGCGCCCCCATATCTTTCGAACCGAGTACATCCGTGTCAACGCGCCATCCAGCGCCCCCTTATCCTTCAAATCGATAACCATTTTGAACGCTTTATCCAGCGTCCCTGTAGTGATTTAAAATCGATAACCATCAATTTTGAACGCTTCATCCAGCGTCCCCGTACTAATTGAAATCGATAACATATTTTCGATTAACTCTGTTTTTTTTTGCGCGTATCCAGCGGCCCCTCTCCGAACCACGTCAAAGTCGATAGACTACCTCACACACTTACATTTTCCTGCTCCTACGAGAGCTTCATATGCCAATTGGTGACGGTGAGGAACCAAAATCCCTTTTGGCCGTTTCTAAGGAAAAAGAGTCTCACAGAGTCAGGGCAAAGAGTGAATCTACTGTGCCTTCCAAAAGCGAAAATCCCTCTCGCAGCAAAGGCCCATTGACAACCGCAACTCCACTAAGATCTACGAGCACGTAGCTTGAAGTTCCACGGTCTGTACCATCCACAAAAGCCGCAAGGTCAGTCGTATCTCCCCACTTCACTAGAGCAAGTGGCAGAATGGCTCAAGCTGAGGGAGACAAGGCCTTGAGGAAATTTCTGACCATAACCGATAGGGTGGGTCAGTTTGAAGCCAGAATCAATACCAATGCGGACACAAATCCGTCCATCCACATGAGTAGGGTTCGACTCGAGCAGATCAGGGCCCTCTGGGACAAGGTGGAAAAGGAATATGAGACGTGCTCCGAAGTTGTGGCCAGTCAAACCTGCAAAGACAAAATAACAGCCATGCAATCCAAGTATGACGACTGTTATACCGTGTACGAGCGGTGCGCAGCAAGCCTCAATGAGATCATTGCAGATTCACGCGCACAACAGTCTGTTCAGTCCTCCAATCTGACGCCGTCTCAGGGCGGATGTCGCTTACCTCCAGTCGAGTGCGAAGTTTTCAATGGTGACTATGTTCAATGGCCCACATTTCGGGACCTTTTCTCCGCCATCTATATACGCAATCCTCGGCTTTCAGAAGTCGAAAAACTGTTCCATCTCAATGCAAAGACGAGCGGCGAGGCCAAATCCATTGTGGCCTTATCTCCGTTGACCAATGATGGGTTTGAGTCAGCGTGGAGAAACTTGCAGAATCGGTTCGAGAACAAGAGGCTGCTGGTCAATAGCCAATTAAAGATCTTGTTTAATTTGCCTTCTGTTGCCCAGGAATGCGGAAAATCCTTGAAGCATTTAGAGAGCACAATCCAAGGTTGTTTAACGGCCCTGCAATTAGCAAGAGTCGAGACCACGAATTGGGATTGCCTGCTTGTTTTCCTGTGCTCGTCCAAGTTGCCAAAACTAACTTTGGCTCTTTGGGAACAGTCCCTGCTAAGTAAGTCAGAGATTCCACTCTGGGCTGAATTCCAGGCCTTCTTAAAAGATCGTCATCGAACGCTTGAGGCGATTGAGGAGTTCAAGCCAAACGCGAGATTTCAATCCAGGGCACTGAGGGCTGACAATAGCTCGCGGTCGATCCAGACCTTCGAAAACAGAGTTACGGTAAACCCGCAATCCTGTAAACTCTGTGCACAAGAGAACCATCCACTCCGTGAATGTCCTCTATTCTTGCGAATGTCAGTCGCAGATCGAGAGAAACATGTGAAACAGCAGAAGTTGTGCTTGAACTGATTCGCAAGAACGCATCTGCTCCGGGACTGCAACAGCACGCATAATTGCTACACCTGCAGTGGACGTCACAATACTCTCCTGCATCGAAGCGGCCCTCCGCCAGTCCATTCAGTGGTTATGCCTGACCAACAGTCCCATCCATCCACAGCAATCGGGCAACATATACAGTCCACTCCATCGACGAGTCAAGCGAATGTGCAAACGTTTCTTGCCGTTAACACGCAAGGGGTCCTCCTGAGTACGGCAATAATAGAAGTTTGCCATTTGGGCATCAAATACTCAGCACGGGCTCTCATTGACTCAGGTTCTGAGGCAACCTTTATCTCAGAACGGTTGTTCAACCTGATTAAGTTGCCTTATGAGTCCATCCAAGCGCAAGTTTCAGGGGTCAACCTTTCCGTTGCAGCTCAGCCCCGTAAGCGTTGTCAATTCAACATAGGATCTCCCGTCAAGCCCCATATCCAAATTGAAACCTGTGCGTATGTGCTACCACAGTTAGCCGGGAATCTCCCATCCTACACTATACCAGAGGATTCATTAAAGGATCTTCCACCTCTGCAACTAGCAGATCCAGATTTCTACCGGAGCTCGCCGATTGACGTGCTTATTGGTGCCGATATCCTGCCATCAATCATTCTCAGAGGCTCCCATTCCAATATTTGTGGAACACTCCTTGGTCAAGAGACCATATTCGGGTGGACTCTTTGCGGTCCCATTGCAACGAGTCCCATAAGCAGAATCTGTTCTTTTTCAGCCCGATTAGCAGTGACCGAGTTCAAACCAGACAGCATCCCCACCAAATTTGGGGAGGTGGAGGATGTTCCAGTGAAGTTAGTAAAGGAATCCACCTCGGTTTGCGAGGAGAACCTTATCCGATCCACCAAAAGAAGTGAGGATGGAAGATGTGTTGTTTCGTTGCCCTTTAAAGAGCCGGACAATATTAAGCTGGGACATTCCAGACCCATCGCACTAGCTCAGTACCTCCGAAACGAAATGCGATTGAGTAAAATACTTCCATTGAAGGAGCAGTACGACTCAGTCATTCGAGAGTACTTAGACTTAGGTCATATGCACCAAGTCTCCCCTGACGACTCTAGCAGTTTTTATCTGCCTCATCACGCTGTCTTCAAACCAGATAGCACCAAGACGAAGGTTCGCGTCGTGTTCAACGCTTCCAATCCCTCATCAAACGGGAACAGCCTCAATGATATCCTTCATGCGGGGCCTGTACTACAGTCCGATCTGACTATTCAGATTCTAAAATGGCGTTTCTTTAAGTATGTTTTTAATGCGGACTGTACAGTTGTGTCCCCTTGTATGTCTGCAACTAACAAGAGGTCATTGTAGGAGGGGTTCCCAGGCAAGAGTAAACACAGGTCGGGATAATTTCCAACGTTATAATTATTATTATTCACTGATTTACTTTAGACTAGATATATATATGTATGTACAGATGGGTGTGTATTCGCAATAGATAAGGCGTTAGACCGGCGGCGTGCGTTCAGCGGCGTTTGCAAGATCAGACTAACTTTTCACCTCTCTTCCATTCTCTTCTTCCCGCATCGTATGCACTGTCCAGCGACGAGTGAGCGATCGGCTGATCGCCACTCTCCCGCACAGTGGGACACGCAGCAAAACTGAACATGCCGCCCGCCAATGCTAGACCTAGCATGAGACATCTCCGCGTGTCCAGTCCATCCTGGGGGTAGTAGGCGGGGCAGAATCTAGAATGGAGACAAGAGACAAACGGTGTGCGCAAGAAATAATTTATTATGATTGAGGTGTACGTGAGAGCGCTTAAGAACGGATTGGCAGTGGACACAGCTTCGACACTGACCGCTTTAATTGGCCTTGCTTGGTTTTAAGGGTTACCACCCGGACTAACGCATCCGCCCCTGGGTGTAACTCGACGACCCGTCCTAACAGCCACTGTGAAGGCGGGAATCGGTCATCCTTGATGATGACAAGGTCGTTCAACTGCAGACCTTCAGCCTCATGACACCACTTCGGTCTCTGCTGCAGATGAGCCAGCCAGTCTCGACTCCAAGCCTTCCAGAAATGGCGAATCATTGACTGCTGGATAAGAAACTGCTCTGCGAAGGACTTGGACTGCGGCCTATACTCCGGAGGCGCCAACATGGAGTCTCCAATTAGAAAATGAGCCGGCGTAAGCACCTCTAGATCGTCAGCATCGGCTGTGAGAGGGCACAGCGGCCGCGAGTTGAGGCATGCTTCTATGCTTATGAGCACCGTAGATAACTCCTCATAGGTGAGCCGTCGATCGGCGATGACCCTCTTAAGGTGGTGCTTCACCGACTTCACATTGGCCTCCCACAGCCCGCCAAAGTTGGGCGATTGAGGTGGATTGAAATGCCAAGTGGCACGCTGCGCAGCGAGCTTTGGGGCTATGAGCTTCTCGTAATCCTCCTGCAGCCTTCCGAATAATGCCTTCATTAGATTATCCGCGCCGATAAAGTTGGTTCCGTTGTCACTGTATAAATGCTGAACCATCCCTCGCCGCCCGGTGAACCGGTCTAAAGCCAGCAAGAAATGCTCCGTGGTGAGACCCGTCACTGCCTCCAAGTGTACAGCCTTCGTCGCCAGACAAATGAAAACGGCTATGTATCCCTTGTAGAAGCTGGTTCCTCTCAAGCGCGCTGCCTTCAGCTCTATAGCGCCTGTGTAGTCAACTCCCGTCGCCAGGAACGGTCGATTAGGGGGGTTGACCCTGTGTAGCGGCAGGTCTCCCATGAGCTGAGCCGAGGTGGTTGGCCGGGTGCGAAAGCACCTCACGCACTTCCGCAGCACCCTTCGAACTGCTTGCCTCCCTGTCAGTATCCAGAACCGCTGGCGAGCGTGGGCCAAGGTCAGCTGCGCACCTCCGTGCAGAGTCAAAGTATGCGAGTACCGTATTACTAGCTCTGTAAAAATATGAGAACTTGGGAGGATTATTGGATGCCGACGTTCGTATGATAGCCCCGAATGGCGCAATCGCCCCCTCACTCGTAAGATTCCCTCCACCACGATCGGTGACAAACTCTGAAGCTTGCTTTTGGAGGGCAGCCGTTTAGAATTCATCAATGCGGCCAGCTCAGACGAGAAGGACTCCCTTTGAACAATGCGCACGATGGCGAGTAAAGCATAGTCGAGCTCCTTAATGCTTAGGGGACCGGTATACCTCTCTCCTTTGCTAATAGCATTGCTTTTGAACCGAATTATAAATGCTGTGACTCTTATGGCCTGGCTGAAACTGGAAAACCTCTCAACCAACGATGGTTGCGGAACTGCCAGGTGAACGCGTACCTTGTCCGCCTTTGCCTCCAGCGCGGCATCGTGTATGTCGACCTGCCCGATCTCCGTCGAAGGCCAGTCATCTTGCTTGCGTGTAAGCCACTCCGGGCCTCGCCACCACAAATCAAAATCCTTTAGCTCGCTCGGAGGAAGCCCTCTTGTCGCACAGTCCGCTGGATTCTCGTTAGTACCTACATGTCTCCATTGCGATGGCGACGAGTGGTCCAGAATGAAGGCGACCCTGTTGGCAACGAACGTCTTCCATCTATTGACGTCCCCGTGCAGCCAATGAAGAAGAATCGTGGCATCCGTCCAATAAAAGGTCTGGATGGGAAGGTCATTTAGCCACCTAGCCGATGTAAGCCATTTCACCAACTTGACGGCTAGCACTGCACCACTCAGCTCCGTTCTTGGTATGGTTAGGGGTTTAGTAGGGGTAACCTTTGATTTTGCGGCCAACAGCGAGACGTAGCACGCTCCATTCCCGTGCTCGAGCCTTAGATAAGTAGTAGCTGCATAGGACGTGGAAGATCCGTCACAAAACGCGTGCAGCTGAGCTGATACTATGGATCCTGGGGAATAATGAATCCACCGCTGTATGCTCAGGCCGTCTATCCCCAGCAAGCCGTCCCGAAATGCTTGCCACCTTTCCGCAAGAGCCTTAGGAACCTCGTCGTCCCAATCCAGAGCCGTCCTAGCGCCGTTGTCCTGCGTTTTCTTAGCCATGGTTACCTCCTTCAATATTAACTTTCCCGAGATGATGACTGGCGCGATGAGACCTAGCGGGTCGAACAGCCTCGCTATGCTCGACAGGATCGTCCTCTTAGTGAAAGTAGGTGGTATCTCAAAATTGACCTGAAATTTGAAGCAGTCCTTATTGGGGAGCCAATACATTCCTAACGCCTTGATCGGATCCGCAGCGTCCCAGTTCAGAGGTGTCCGACTGCATTGATGCTCTGGCGGAATCGATTGCAAAAGGCTCTCTTCGTTGCTGGACCATTTCCGCAACTCCATGCAAGCGGATTTTATAGCACCCGATACCTGGGCCCGTTTATCCTCCGCATCTTCTATCGTATGCCCACCGGAAAGAATGTCGTCCACGTAGATCTCGTCCCTTAATACTTCTTCCGCCTTAGGAAACGAACACCGCTCATCCTTCGCTAATTGTTGAATGACTCTGATCGCCATGAAGGGTGCCGAAGCCGTTCCGAAGGTTAGCGTTGTCAACGCATAAACGTTGATGGACCCATCCGCCGCCCGCCATAAAATCCGCTGATATTGGGCGTCTTCCGGGTGAACATCGATACACCGATACATTTTCTGTATATCCGCCGTGAAAACAAAACGATATTTCCGCCAGTTGAGAATGACTGCAGACATGTCGTTTTGAAGAGTAGGCCCAGTCCACAAAATGTCATTTAAAGATCTTCCATTGCTAGTCCTTGAGGAGGCATCGAAGACGATTCGCTGTTTGGTTGACTGAATTTCCTTCTTAAAGACAGCGTGATGCGGAAGTACACAAGAGGCTACATGCCTGTTCGCGGCCGTACTCCTTAATGTGCTGCTTTCACTGCCCATTGCCGGCGCTATTTGCTCGAGCGCGAAGTATTCCTCAATCTCATCCACATATTTGCTCCAACGGTCTGGATTGTTGGACAGACGCCTTTCCATCTGGAGAAACCGATTAAGCGCCATCTGATGAGACTTTCCCAAGACCATGGTCGGATCGAGATAGGTTTTAAAAGGCAACCTGACCACATAGCGGCCATCCGGTCGACGCACGTGGGTCTCCTGAAAAAACGACTCGCACCAGAGGTCCCCCCTCTGTCGCTATAGGGCGATCAGGAACTGACTCGACTTCACAGAAACGCTTCAGCAATGCCTCCGTGTCCAGCAGCACTCGATGACAGCGCAATTGTGTTGCTTCTCTTACTCCTTCGGCACGTCCCGATAGAATCCATCCGAAGCGTGTATTCTGCGCTATAGGCTCGCCGGGCAATCCAATCCTGGTGTCTGGCAGCATGATTTGCGCCAACATGTCCGCTCCTAAGATGAGATCGACTCTCTTCGACCGGGCGTAGCTCGGATCCGCCAGAGGGAGCCCTCGAATATGATTCCAACGCTGCGGCGTGAAGCTAAGGCTAGGCAGACAGGAAGTAACTGAATTGAGAACATATGCTGAATCAACCTCTAGAGAAAAATTTGGATTAATAATACTATTAACTTCGAAATTAACTGTATACTTGCAACGACGACCGCCCCCTGGGCCCACCCCAAAAATCGATGCTCGGGTATTGCACCGTCTCAGATGCAGGGACTGTACGACGTGCTCCGAAACTATGGTTGCCTCAGATCCTTGATCGATGAGAGCATTTATGACCGCTCGTAGCCCGTTGACCGGGTTTCGTACGGCAATACGAGCAGTGGCGAGGAGCACATTTCGGGAGGACCCATTCGCCGAAGTTGCTGAATAGCATCTGTAAGATGCGTCCGGATTCTGGCCCCACGTTGACTGTAGGCCCTGCTGAGGTACGGTCTCCCCAGCTGCATCAGGATGCGTCGCGGCAGACCGAACTGGATGCAGCGGTGTATGGCTTGACGATCGGTCCTGAGCCAATGCTGGGAAATGCAACAGCGTATGATGGCGCTGGCCACAAATTTGGCAGCTCTTATTGCTGGTACAGCGGGAAAGCGCATGTGCTTTACTCAGACAATTAATACATAATTTCGCCCTGGTGACTATGTCCTTCCTCTTATAGCAGTCCAAGGCCAGAAAGGCGGCACAACGACGCAGGATATGGTCACCGCTACAGTGATAACAGGAGCTACTCGGGCGCCTTGAGTGCTCCTGTGCATTATGCACTCGCACTCTCTTGCCTGGGTCGGCAGATCCTGGGCCATTATTGGAGTCGTACGACGAGCTTCGGTTCTCGATCGCATCCATTATGACCAGCCGATCATTCAAAAACGATTCTAAATCCTTATGAGTGGGAACGGTGGCACCGCTCCCTTGGTGGTGCTCCCAAGCGTTGTGGGTCTCCTTGGGCAACTTCGCTGCTATGTAATGCGCCAACCAGTGCTGCCGTTCCCCGTCCAAGGCTTGGACGCGGCGGAATGCAGCCAGGCAAACATTGACCGTGCTCAGCATCGACCGTATGGAATCCGTATTATCCTTTTGCAGCCTGGGCAACGCGTATATCGCGTTCATGTGGTGGGAAAACACTAGACGAGGATTGTTGTACCTTTTAATCATCATTCCCCATGCCACGGCGTAGTTCGTCTCCGTGAGCTGCATTTGACGGATGTCATTATCGCGCCCTACCGGCAACGATTCCTTCAGAAAATGTAACCGCTGTACGTTACTCAAATTATTGTTGTTATGTATGAGGCTCGTGAAAGCGTCATAGTAGCCTGGCCAGTCCACACACGCACCGGAAAACTTGGGAACTGACATCTGTGGCATGTTCAGTCGCACCTCCGGATCAGCGGCTCCACTTGGCAGTGGCTGCAGCTTAGGAGTCTCGGCTTCAAGTCTATCCAAATCCTCTGCGATGGCACAATAGGCGTCCATATAACGCTCCTCGAACTCCGACTGGAAATTTTTCACGGCATAGCTCGATTCCGCAAACCCTTCTAGATTCACGATCACGGCATCAGTCTCCTGGAACGCGCTCCTTAGCTCTTCCACTTGTTGCAACCGCTTCTTTAAATAAATTCTCGTTTTCCTCGATTGTGAATCCTTTTTAAAATTCAGCAGCGTCGATTTAAGGGATTGGGCCCGATATGCCTGTAAGTTAACTAATTGCTCGAAAGTTGGAGGATCCGAAACAGTTTCCATGCTGACGAGTGTAAAACCAAAACTTAGCGCAACTCACCACCCCAAATAAACATGTAAAGAAGATATTGGTAAATTCTTGTCTCGCACACAATTTGTCACTTACTCCGTTTTGCACACAAGATTTCACCCCGAAGCCACTCAAAGAAACCAAAAGAAGAGAGCGCCTCCGTTCCTTGACCTGCCGTTGATGCGCTTATGTATCGCCGTCTTCTTTTCAGGCAGTTCGCCGAGCCGACTTGCAAACTTAACGCGGCCGCGCGATCTAACGGAATCTATTTACACCCAGTATAATCGACTTTAAATTTTCACAATTGCAAGGGTCCCCTCATGGGCCACCATGTACAGTTGTGTCCCCTTGTATGTCTGCAACTAACAAGAGGTCATTGTAGGAGGGGTTCCCAGGCAAGAGTAAACACAGGTCGGGATAATTTCCAACGTTATAATTATTATTATTCACTGATTTACTTTAGACTAGATATATATATGTATGTACAGATGGGTGTGTATTCGCAATAGATAAGGCGTTAGACCGGCGGCGTGCGTTCAGCGGCGTTTGCAAGATCAGACTAACTTTTCACCTCTCTTCCATTCTCTTCTTCCCGCATCGTATGCACTGTCCAGCGACGAGTGAGCGATCGGCTGATCGCCACTCTCCCGCACAGTGGGACACGCAGCAAAACTGAACATCACAAAGATGTATCGGCAAATCCGGGTCAATCCTGATCACACGCGCTTTCAGAGAATCTTATTCCGCAACAAATACGGTGAGCTCTGTGACCATGAACTCGACACAGTCACCTTCGGCGTAAATTGTGCGCCCTTCCTGGCCATCAGAGTGCTTCAGCAGTTGGCTCAGGACATCCGAGGCCAATATCCTTTGGCCAGCGACATCATCTCGAACTCTACGTACATCGACGATGTGCTCGCAGGGGCTCACACTCAGCAGTCGGCGATAACTGCCTACACCAAACGAGAGGTCGTATCTCAAATAGCCAAGCTCTTCGACCCGGGCTGGGATCAACCACTCCCCACCGACCTCGTAACCCAGTGGCAAGAGTTCGTAAGGGAAATTCGTAGTCCGACATGGGTGCGTTTCCATCCTGCAGCCAAATTGCAGTACCAGGACGCGTATGGGGCTGCCATTTTCATCCGAGTCGAAACGACTGATGGCGGTTGTACCCATCGGCTGACATCCAAAGCCAGAGTTGCTCTAGTCAGGTCCATATCCATACCCCGCCTGGAGCGGTTTTCTACCTTCGACAGCCACAACACGGGGCGTCATCCGACGACCAGCTGCGAAAATTATTCGCCTCCCAATGGACGGCCCATTGACCATAGTGACTCCTCAATAGATTAGTCCTTCCAATTGACATTTACTAGTCCTAAGTTGTGTCATCCAACGTCGTCGTTCCGTCCACGTGTCTTGTTCATCCTCATCCATAACACTTCATTTTCATATTTATCCATCTCTCTGTTTTAACGTAGATCCGTGTACAATGGCTCCAACGACCCACCGAAATCCTCGTCGCTCATCCGGGAGCAATATATACAGATGTCGAGTCTGCAGGAGAGTCCACGCTCTGAGGTTTTGCCAACGGTTTCTCCAACTGCCGGCTGTGAAGCGGCTCCGCGCGGTACTAATTAACCAGTACTGCGCGAACAGTCTGGCAAGGCGGCTCATCACACGCTGCTGCACCTCCACACTGGGCAGCCTCGCTCTTCGCGGCCCCGACAAAGGCGCAACCCACCCTCGGATTCTCGGCCTCAGCGGCAGCCACAGCAGCGCCAGCAGGCGCCTGTATCCGGACCTCGGCGGCCCGCCACGCCAATGGATATGTCTCCATCCCGCAGCCGGTCGTGCACGCCTATCCTGGCGCGCACGAGGGTTAGCATCCTCTCCGGACGGTGTTTCCTTTCGTACATCGCAAGTATTCCTCTTGCGAGGGGGGGAGAATGTTCATGCTGAACAAGGGGCAATATCGCCAGGGGAGCATCACTGGGGAAAATGTACCTGTCGCCATATTAGTGGTACCTCTTTTTTATTACTCTGAAAATAAACTCCAAAGAAGACGGATCGTTGGTCCTCCTCAGCATCCAAAATTTAAAACTCTGCCTACTTTTATTGGGAATCTGGAATTGTACTTGCCACGGCCCCCGACAGCTTCACTGGGTAAACGACACGGTGGCGATTGACCCTATTTCCGGACATTTCATACAAAAACGGAAATGAAAGATCCCATTGCTTGGGACCGATGGGTAAGTAGTGGGGGTCTGCTGGTAAGCACTTATTTCACCAGCTACGAACCAGCGCGCAGTACTACAGGGGAGTGACTACATCCTCGGCTCGGCCCACCGCGTCTAGGACATCATCCCGCCGGGCAGCGCCGCGCCATGTACACGAATCCTCGGACGAATCACCACCAGCATCGCCACCGCAGCGCGCCGCGCCAGCAGCGCCGCGCCCTGTACACGAATCCTCGGACGAATCACCACCAGCATCGCCACCGCAGCGAGCCGCGCCATCAACGCCTCCACGCCCCTCGGGCCGCTCCATCTCCCCGTTTTACGTGGACAGCACTGGGCGCAGGATCCCGTGTTCCGAAGCTCCGCCGGCCCGACTGGACTTCTTGAACCCGGAATACACGGGACCCTATCGAGGATATCAAAACCCGGGTGCGCCGGGTCACTCTCAATGGTACCCCAACCCGGGCACGCCAGGTCACTACCAGGGGCAGCAAAACCCGGCCGCTTCGGTACCACCGGCTGGGGAACGCTACAGTCCGTGCAGCCCTCGTCCACAGGACCCCGAGACGGACACGGAGGGTGAAGAAGAAGAGCCACGAACCCCCAGTCCAGCTGCCTCTTCGCGCGACGAGGATTTCCTACTAGAGGACATCACCGACAGTGACGCCACGCCCCCATATCCCGGGTACCACGGAGAGCGAGCCGGCGAGGCGGACGACGATGCCCAAACAATCAGCAGTGACAGCGAGCTAGACGTCAACGCCCCCTCGGCGGCGCACTACAGATGGGAGGGAGAGGACCGATGTGGGTACTGGCGGGGATCGTGGATCCAGTTGATCCACACCCGCTATACCTCGATCTTCATCGAGGCCCCTTTCCGGCCGACTCCCGACCCTATCGTCACCTTCCCCCCGTCACCGAAGAGACTATGCATAATGGCCCCGGACGAAGACTGGGAAATGGACGTGGGGAACCCTCCCGAGGTCCGCCCGCCGTTGCCAGCACTTGGTGAGGATGCGGTCCTGCCCGTCTTCCTCCGCGACCGGGCGGATGACAACGCCCCACTGGCCAACGACGAGGCGGACGACCCAAACTACCAACCCACTGGAAAGGTCATGCAATGGGAATCAGAGTCCAGTGACAGCGAGACGGAAACTGGGCAGAGATTCCGGCGCAAGGAGGTCCAACCCCTGCCGCCGCCGGACGTTGCTGCACCAAGCCGCCAACCCTCGATCCACCGCCGTGTGATGTCTACTGAGAGGATCACGCCGCCCAATGCTGCCGAGACAAACCGCCGAGCCTCGACCCACGCCACGATCGACGATGAGGTCACTCCACCGGCCACCCCACGTGCCGGCCCCGGAGATCGCGGAATCGACCTCTCTCCAGGCACGCTGGACATGTTAATGGAAGAGCTAGAGCCGGCAGTGGAGGGATTACTTCAGGAGCTAATCCCGGATTGGGACCCCACCGCACCCAAAACAGCCCCCACCACCGCCGCCCACGAGGTCCCACCTCCAGCGCCACGCTTCCCTCGCCAAGTCCCTGCGGGAGACTATTACACCACCGACGACCCAATGCCGAAGCGAGTCGCCATTCCAGCCGCCTGGTGGAGGAACACCATCGACCAGCGAGTCCCACTGGCGGTCTGGCAGGAAATCGAATGCCGAAGCTATGCCGCTCGCACCGGAGAAGGCCTCTACCAGGTCACAATGAAGACGTCCGGAGAGGTCCACATTCGTTTCGGTTCGGCGGAGTAGAGAGGGAGTGTAACGCCTCTATTCCCTCGGCGCACAACCTCTCATGTAAAATAAGCTCTAGATATAAAGTATATATATAATATCCCCCTATATTATAGTTATATTGTAAGCATACATATTAAGACGGCACTGAAGCCACTGTAAATATTAAAGCTTTCGTTGGCACTGGAGCCTTAAGCGACACAAACTCGAAGTATATTGATAATAAGAATAGTTAGTTTAAAAACAATAAGCTAAGTTTGGCACCTCAGCGGTCACCGAACCGGGTAACCTATCGACTAGTCGAACTAGTCGAACCAGATCAGTTCTCGGTGAACCGGTTCGAACCACCGGTTCACTCAAAAGCTATGACAGCTTAAGAACCCTCTGTCGTACCTACAGCCGCAGCGCCACGCCAGCACAGGATCATTCCGTGCTCAACGTGCCGCCGCGACTGGAGGACACGTGCTCCTCTGTCCTCGCCCCGCTAGGGACCCCTTCTTGTGCCCGTAGCCGCACCACCACACCAGCGCTGGTTTCCCACGCACCGTGCACCGCCGCGACTACGAGTGCATCCGCTCCCGTGTCCACGTCCACGCCCGCACTGGCCATTCCGTGCACCGTGCGTCACCATGGTGACAAGTGAAACTCTGCCTGGCCGACCCGTAGCTAGCCTCCGCGCCCAACCGGAGTTAGCTAACGCCTCTCTGACGCCCCTGGCCATTCCCCCCGACCCACGTCGCCCGAATTCTGGGCGAGATCAAGCAAATTCCGCCAGGAGTCCGCCGGAGTTGCCACTCCGCGCATCCGCGAAAGCAGTACACACAAGCAGTACACACAAGCAGTGGGCGCAAGCAGTGCCTAAAGCAGTTCGCGACGAGCAGCTTTTGTCAGGGACCGACCGATGAAGCAGATCGACGAGTCGATAAAAGCAGCGCGGCGGCCAGCCATTGACAAGCAGCGCGTGTGCCCCGCCTGCTCCTGGTGCATCTAGTGACCACATCGGCCGGCATCAAC